GTATTTATGTAAGTTAATTTTTGTAGTATTCGGGATTATCGACTTCTTAGAAGGCTATAACTTAAAACTATATACTACTTATTGGCGTTTTTGAGGTATCTTTGCAATCGCTTAGGTACACACCAAGGCAATGACTATGTGGGCCGAACGGGCCGGGTGGCTGACTCTTCTAAATCGGGTAATTGACCTGCTCTACAGGCATGCGCACCGCCACCATTCGGTCGGCTATCGGCCCGGTAGACAAGCACAGGCAGGAAGTCCGCATAAAAAAACAGCTGTCCTCGGTCTAGGCAAGCGGGCAGGTCCGTTGTAACATTACTCCCCGAAGCAGCGAAACTAATAGAGGCGATTGTCCGAACGGGATCCCATTAGTGACAATTGGAGCGAACCGGAGTAAGGTGATTCTATACATACGTCGGACCTCGCGTAAGCGACTCGCATGCTTAACGTCCTCGGCCACGCCAAATTTAGGTCCCTAGACGGCTGTGAAGGCTGTACGCTATACCACCCAGAAGAAGTCATCGCTCGCGAGGCTCTTCAAGAGCGTTGGAATACAGCTACGGATAAAGAACGGTCTTTCCTATGGACAACATACCCAAAAGGCGACCTCATGGCTCTCCCAGACATTGTGGCCTGGTCACAAGCCCGGGAAGAGGCGCGGGCACAAGAGGTTGCCCAAGCTGACGCCGACAAAGACTCTGACATCGATTATAACTACATCTCTATGATGCTTTCTTCAGAGCCGGATCTCTCGCCTCATAATAGCAGCGACGATGACGTTCAAATCGTGACAACACAGCGCCAACCCCAGCGTATTAGGGCACCACTATCCCAGTTTCCTCTTGAGCAACAGCCACCATTGAGAAGACGGCGGGTGCAATTGAACGAAAAAGACGAGGCCGAGCTCCAGGCCGAGCTTGAGGAACGAGTCATCGTGCGTGCGTCCGATGAAGAAGATGAAGAGGATGAGCCGGAGCTTGTTATAAGTGGCAGACGATTTTGCATACCAAAGTCGCGCGAGCGTTAGGTACCCTTAGAACTTTAGGTATATAGTGCAACACCAACCACCCGACCAATTCGTATGAGACTTGGTACATCAATTATATAGAACCCCATGTATGGTATACATTTTTGGAGGATTTTAATAAACTTAATTGACATAGTGGCTGTTAATTGAATTCGCGATAGAGGAAACACAACCGTCAAAGAAACAGATTTTCAGGGCTCCCCTGCTAGTCAACCCCCCGAGTATATGAAGGTCAGGTAGCCGGGCCGGGAATGCGGCATATTAACAAGGTAAGGATCCACGTGGCAGCGCCACTCTAGCTCTTTCCTTGACCTGTGCACGTCAATGAGTATTGGAGAAAGTATTCCATGGACAGTGACACTTGGATTGTTGAAGTGACGATGCAGTTCAAATCATAGACGATTTGCCGATTATGGGAATGCATTCGTTAAGCTTAGTGCCCTGTCCCTCGTACCAGCCAGGGTTGCGACCGTACCCGTCGCGGGATGTTTGAAGGGCAACGCTGATCGGCTACCAGATACAGGTACCAATAGTGTGGTGTCCGGAGCGGCGCCGCCAACCATCTGAAGGGCGCCCGCCAAGAATTGTTTAATCGAGGCAGTGATTCCGTCCAAATGAAGCATCGCGCATGAGCTGGCATTCGGTGGCCAATGCTTTCGTCTACAGCTCACGCGCCATGCTGAGGGTTTTTTATATGAGGCATTTTTCTCTTTGGTTGGCGATACCCGATAGCGTGACGCACAAGGCGTGCCACCTTAACCGGGAGAATGCCGTTTAGCCGCATGGCACTACCCGTTGGCTAAGGCTAGGTGGGCCAACGGGTAGTACCATAATCCGCGTGAGCCGAAGGTCAGTAGAAGGATGTCCCTGCTAGTCTTATCGGAGCCATCCTAGCACAACCTCGGGGGGGTATAGCTATTAATGGCCTCCTACTTTTCGACCCGTGTGTACATCAGCCCTACGGTAGCCTTCAAGGAGAGGGGTGGCAACAGAGACTGGGTCGTACCGGCCAATATTCGCTGCCATCTCTCAAATCAGGCCTTCATTCACTACGTGCCTTACAGTGCATTGAATTGCATCAGGCGGCTCGACAAAATCCAAAGTCGAGTCCCAGTGCCGCACATGGCGCCTATTTAATCTCCTCCTCTCTCACCATTGCGTCGGTGCCTCCTTCAGAATCGTACAAGGCTGCATGCAACATGAGATAGTAACGGGAAACCCCGTGCACACATGCATGACACCCTGTTCCGGCCCAACAAACGGCGGATTCCTGGGAATCAGAGGCACACCGCTCAAATCGTCAGTCACCTTGTCGTTCCTCCGCCATCTGCGTACAAACCCATCAACATCAACCGATTTTGCCTTCGCTTCGCCAATCCCGACGAAAATGCCGGCCGCTCCCAGCGACTCAAGCCAAACTTTTGTCCATATTTCCTGACCCCTCCAAGGCGAGAATCATCATTTTTGGACTAGCCTTAGTCTTTCACCTTCCCTTTATTGGGGCGACTGTCTGGCAGACGCGATGTGGTATTGCGAGGTGGGTGGTTATCACGAGTTATTTTGGCTTGTGGTGTTGTATCAGGAGGCACTGCTTGCCGCGACGCCAATTGTGTGTATTATGGTGTGTTACGCGTCTACGTGTGGAGTCTTGCTAAGTACGGTAAGGTGCACAGGGAGACTAAAAATCGGGCACAGGGAGCGGAAAGGGGGCCGTTTGTGTGTGGTGGCAGGGTGGTAAGGGCGGGACTAGGCAGATTGATCTTGGGTACAAGTTGGCTGTGGGGCTGATCCGTGCAGCCCCACTGCTCCAGACCGCCAAGACCAGTTCAATTTAGTGAGTTTCTACGGGTAATGTGGCCCCAGCCGATTTCCCCCTATTTCAGGGACACTTAGGACACCCTTTTTGGGACCCCAACAAGAACACAACCTTTTTGCCAGCGGCACGCAAGCTGCATCGAACGGTTTAATCCGCCGTGCCTCATGAGGTCAGAGCCGCAGAACCACCGTACTGACACTAGGCGTCCACCTGGCAGGGGATCTCCGACAAGGGAGCTCCGACAGGACGGACGGGATCTCGGAGGCATCCCTTATTTCCATCCATCGGAGCCGATCACTCACCTCCACAACATCAAAGCATGACCGAAAACCAGCACGTACGTGTCCACTCTCGGTGTGGAGCGTGTGGCTTCCGCTTCAATCCCGGTGACCCTTTTTATGCATGTGAGCACTCTATTTTCTTCAGAGCTGGCAGAATTACGGTTGACGTTATCGCCATAGTTTGTCAAGACATTTTCGGAAAATCCAAATTTCCCGACTCTGGGTATTGCGAGAATCAGCATAATCGTCCATGGATGTTTTGTCGCATACCCGATTGTAGACACTGCCGTTTGTCTCGGGACTGTGCTACAATTCATACGCATTGTCTGAAACTCTTCCTGTCTGAATTCAAGGAGGGGGGACGTCCCAGGCTACGATGGCTATGGCTCGCAGCGACATGGAGGAGTCCTTGGCAAGGTGCTCTGCCTCTCGACGTGGAACCTTCTGTGGGCTACCAAAATCCTTATGGGATACTGGACGAACTGCCCCGGATGCTGTTGCTGCCTCCAGAACTTAAATCGACGATCTGGGAATTTTGCGCCTCAAGCCCTCTGTGGCTTTTTACCGCTGTCTCGGACCTTCGCGGTGAAATGGCAGCTTCTAAGCAACACAAACGATCGGTCGTCCCTCTCATCGATATTAAGTCATGGGCTCGCGGTTGTCAGCTGGAATACAGCGACAACCCTGATAGCCCCATTATCCATCTCACATTCGACTCGCGAGGGCTTCGACGCATCAAGAGATTGAGCAAGCGCCCGTCGAGGAGTAGCTCAGGATCTGACTTCAACGCATTTGTCGTTGAATCTGTTGAGCGCTTCTCTGGCGTGCTTGTAGAGTTCGAGGTTCGTCACTCCGGTAGACTCGACGACGGCTTTCACTTATTATTCTTAGCTTGACCTGGCCCGTTTGCAACTTCCCGCGGGCGAAGCAAATGAGTTTTACATTTGGGATACACCTTCTCCACCTCCTCTGGAACGCTGCTTCAGCGATCTGTCCAAACCACCACCACCTTGTCATCTTGGTACAGTACAGCTCCGCGCTTGTACAGGCATCACTTTCTTTATGTCATGCGGCTCAACATATGCCGTACACGCTCATACAAGTAATCGTCCGTTTGCTCAGAGTACTTTCGAGGCGCTTCCAACCGCACGACAGAAATTGGTTTCCTGGGTGTATGTTCCCATCGACGGCGAGATCACAAAGTTCGGGTTTAGTCACGTACCAAGGCGAGCTGGTAATGTTACCAGATCACAAAGTCTCCTGGTAAGACGCAAGGTGATATTCTGAAGTAAATCGTCTAACAGGTAGCAGCTAAGCACAAAATTTACCGAAGATATCTTCATTGGGCGTTATAGGACGAGCTTCTCAGTAATCAAGCAGCCTCTAACGCTCATATATGACAAGCCGGATGGTTTACCTATCTCATTTGTCGGCGCATACTCTGAAGATAAAACCACGGATTGCAGAACACCAATCTTCCCCAGGAAAGACCGCCACTGGCTGCGATAAGTTCTTCCTTCTCATCAGCCCCGCTCGAGCGCGCTTCTAGACTGGAAATTTTCTACATTCCAGAGACAGCGATCTGCAGAGGCATCGTGATCCAGTACGAGGACGGGCTGCGGCGCGCCCTTGGACAATGCAGACTGGGCATCGATCCAGCCCGAGAATATGAAATGCCTACGCACCTCTGCTTTGCCAACGCTACATGCCGGCAACTTCACATGGACGAAGAACTGCGGGGGGTCAATGTGGTGAGCACTACTATCGAGCGGGTTCACGATCACGCTGGGCCCTGTTGGACGTGCTGTGAGATGAGTGGTGTTTTGCATTTTTGGTTTGAGGACGGGGCAACGAAACTAGAGCATGTCATTGGAAACTAATGAACTAATCCGTGGCTTTTCCCCTTGCCCTTGCCGGTCGGGTCATCCCATGTTCGGTACTTGTTATTCGTTGTTTCCGCGATAAAGCCCGTGTTCCGGCTGCCATCTCTGTTGATGATAATTGCCTTGTCCCACTTGCTGCAGCGAACAGATACTTTGCTGCCGTTTTTGAGCCTAAGAGTAGTCCAACCGTCTGCGACCTTGGAAATTTGCACGGAACTATATTCACTTCCGTTGACTGTGCGAGTGAACGCGGAAGTCGGCTCCGTATCGACGTCCATGGATGCATCATAGGACTGCGCTGAAGATCCATCGAGATGGTAGGCCTGAGTGGAAGATTGATTGTAGGATGAGCCAGCAAGGGTTTGTGTGACTGTGGTGTTCCCTTCCTCGGCATAGATATCGTCGAAGCTTTCGGGGTCTGGTACAGCAATGGCCTTGATCTTCTGAAATGCCCAGAGAAACTCGGTTTCGAACTCAAGGATGTCCCTATAGGCATCTCTTTGCCATGTCCCCCCTCGAGAGGATAAAATGGATCCAGCCAGCCAGAACCTTTGAGCTCACATGCCCACAAACGAGCCTTGGAACCAAAGTAGGTTATTGCCCAGACTGATCGTATACTCTTGTCGATCATGTACGCTTGGCATAATTGGTAGGCCTGAGTTTCGACCTCGACGATTTTCGCTGGAGTAGCGCGTCCTTTCTTTGCCTGCCCAATCAACCGAAACATCAACGTTCTCTGGCCAGTCGAATAGTGTTGGACAGCAATATCCATCCGCAACTGAGAATGGTGCTCTCGAGGAGGCACCTCGGTGCCGTGAATCCACTCAATCTCGGAGAAGATATGTCGAGCGAAGTATCGCGAAAAGAACCTAGTTGAGGCCCATTCATCCCGATTAATGGCTTCCTCTCGGAGATGAACTAGGATAGGATCGGAATGAAAGATGCTCATTGTGGCAGACAAAGCGGAAAACTCGAACTCCCAGAATTTTGGATCGAAAAGAACGGAGCCTGTATAACTGAGACTCAGGAACGTTGAAGATCCAACACAGAGCCAACCTCCTGACTTGGGCACTCTATATATGTATGGAGAGCCGCCTGTGGCTATTGAAATTGACCAGACGAATAACATCGTCTCGAAGGACATGCGCGTACATATATTTCCCGCTAGAACGCATAAGATCGTTGCCATTTCCATGGTACATGATCCTACGTGGATACGCAGCCTCCGATAGTCCGATTCATGATGAGCAATGGGTGCGTGGGGTCGGGGATGGAGCGCCGCGCAGGTTGATCTGAGCCGCGGTTATCTCGCCAGCAGGCAATTTATCATCAACCCATGCAGGCTAGGTGGCTGGAAAAATCTGCAAGTCGTTAGCACGTTGCTTGCGGTTTTACTCATTGGCGCGCAACTGCTCGTGGCGCGCTATAGCTGTTGCGCTGGGCTGCTAGTGCAGTTGTCCAGTACCCTGCGCAAAGCTCATCTGTTCAGGTTATGTCGACGTAGCAGCGCGCTATAAAACCGGTCAAGTAGCTATTAGTACTTCTTGGGCCATGGAATTCCTGGTAATGTCATGTATCTCGGTGAGCGTCGTTCGATAGGCTCTAATCCCTCCACATGAATCTAGGCATCATCCCGTCCCGTACCCGCATCTCTGCGCAGAGATACCCACAATTCCGCGCAGACACAGAATCTGCGCAATGAATGTTTTCTACCACATTTATCTAGGTGAAAACAGGTTGCGTCATCAGAGCCTAAGGAGGAATAGTCAGGCTTCAACGGATCACCTCGGCAGGAGCTCCGCTTACACCTGTTTTCCCGTCGAACCACCCGAGACTCAGCAGTCAAGCCTTCAGACCCTTGGAAGTATCTGAAGAAGATCATTTGTATTTCTCAGGAATCCATAACAAGAACTCAAAGGTACCTCGGGCGAAGAGCTGACGGTCAACTGCCATTCACTGGAGCCGTCTCACATACCGAAGACCTCTCCCCATCTTAGGCCATCCAAATGGCAGGTCCATCCATCCATATCCCTCAAAACGTAGCTAACACAAAGCGCAGGATCCAAGCCAGGATCCCAGCCAGGATCCAAGCCAGGATCCAAGCCAGGATCTTGACAAAACGACCTTTAGTAGTGCGATGGAAGTCGGCGTCGGGGTTTACATGAACAGAGAGTTTATGTTATGGAAAAACTGTGCTGCCTACTATAAAATGTCTGCGGATAAGAGCTGGTTGAGCATGAGGTCCACTGGGCAATGGATGTTGCCGGAAGGTTGTTCAGTCTATTTAACTGGGGGGGAAATCAGAAAGAAGACTTGATCGATGCCAGTTACTAAATCAAGCTCGCCAAAGTTGCTGGTACAATAAGGTCAGATTCTGTGCCTCAACGATGAAGTTGAGCCGACTTGGATGATCAACCATGTCCCAGACTTCCATAGATAAACACTCCGATAGCATAGCACCCATTGAAAGCTCGGTTATACGTCGCGGACTATGTCGAATTGCTGCACCTACCATTTGTCCGAATATACTGTCCAGAGCCACGGCTATGCCCCCTCTTAGCGTTATACTGCTGTTGATGTCCATGGTCGCACCCTTCTCAGAAACGACACGTCGTCGTCCATTTTCTTCCCGAATATGGATGTCAAAAACTTCCTTAGCGACATATTGCACCTCTTTTGCGGATATATCGAAAACCAATCGACAATCGGTCGGATCTGATGGGAAGGATAGCATAACAGAAGCCTCATCAGTCCTCTTGGTGACCGCAGTGCAAATATAATGTGAGAAGACGAAGGGAAGATTCTTGGCTTTCGGCCAGGCATGTTGATATCTAGAGTCGATATCAAAGGCCATCCATTCACAAGCCTTATTCTGGCTCGCGAGTACTGTGTCCGGCTGGGCACGTCCTCGGCCTGGATGAGAATCCGAGCCCTCATCTTCCTGTGTCATGACATCTGTATTCATGAATTGCGAACGATAGGTTTCGGTCGAGTCCGGCTCTCGAGACAGACTTTGCTGCTCGCAATCAAGACGCGAACGTTGGGTAGGACGTGGATTTGGATCGGGGGTCGATGCCTCCGGTGGAGCGGGTAATTCGACTTTGTTCAATCTGAGCAGTTCTGAAATGTTAGCCAACGGCGAACATAAAGTCTTAACGACTTACTGCAACGTTTAGCGCTACGGTCAGAACGAAAGATGATGTGGTGAATGCGTCTTTTCACGGAATCGTGAGTGTTACTTCGAGATACCTCGGCGACTACGTGTCGTAGATTGGAAGGTGATAGCTGGGCCGCAGAATCCTTGAGAAATTGGTTGCGTTCAGTCGCAAGAAAATACGCGTACCAAACCCCGAATCCAGCATCTAGGAAGGCGCGCGAAGTATGGTCTGATGGGGAAAGAGCCTCTAGAGCTCTGTCGAACCCAGGCGGTGCTTTGTCCGTGGTCTGTTCTTCGGTGAGGCATTGTCGAAGGGCTTCAATGACCGTGCTGGCGAGATTCGCACCTCCGCTCGCATCTTGGAGATTCGCATCGATATGTGGCTGCTGACTCCCGCCATGATTGCTAAACCTGGTGCAGGCAAGGCTTGGGGCGAGGATTTGTGCGCACGTTGCGCCAGCTGCGCAAGGAATGATTATTAAGTAGAAAGCATGAGGAAAATTGTTGCGCAGATATTAGTAATTTTGCTCGCTTCAGCCGCGCGCTTTTAGTGCCACCTTCCCAAACCGGAATCCAGTGGGATTGCTAAGCTTTGCGCTCTTGCACGATTGCGCAAATATCTTGCGCAGAACAGTGGGGACTGCGCAGCCAGCCCGTAACCAGCTTGTTACGCATGAGATCAACAGCGCATGCTGCAACAAGTGACTTGCAACTTTGAGCATCTGGCCCACTTCCCGTCGACCCATCGGTCACGAAGTAGGTACGTACTGGCTTTTTCCCTGGTCGCCTTAATCATGCCCGCCCCCACTTTCTCGGATTTCGCTTCGACTCACCCACCAAAGCGAAATCCGAGGGTGAGATGGAACAATGTACAGTAGGTCGTGGGGCTTAAGGTGTTACGCATTAATGTATTGAAATGTCGGTAGCTTTTACGTCTAGGCCCTATAGGAGAAATCCTCCGGGTGAAATACACATACATACATGTACAGTAGGTCCGTAGCTTAGCGTCGTGGCCCTATGGGGGAACCCTCCGGGCGTAATACAAAAAAAAAGGGGGGAAAAAGCGAAATCCGAAAAAGTGGGGGCGGGCACGATTACCTACCAGATTGAACTCGTACCGAGCTTGCACCCTGCATGTGTGCCGCAGGTGATACCGCCAACGACATAGCATAGTAATGAGACTTCAACTTTGCGACAGCTTCTAGATGAAGTATTAGCTCTTCAAATTGTAGGCTCAGAAAGAGTGCTGACAGCTATGAAGCTGGATCTCTCACATGTAAGGCATTGAATGACCCACACATTGTTACGGGGTCAGCACTGTTGGCACAGGTGCTGGGCGTAATTGATGTAAATTGAGCTACAAAGAGTGTAAAAGGGAGATGTGTCTACCATCGCTCCCTTTAGGAGCCGTGTCCGTGGCACTCGCACGTGACTAGTCTGGCTATGCCAGATCTACACATAGGGCGTAGCCCACACACATGAACACACTCATAACCAATACCGTACCAAGTCTTCTGCGGGTCAAACAAGCGCTGTCAAACTACCTGCAATAAAACGATGGCATCACATATTATCACCCAAGGCTCGATTAGATGCGGTCACGTCAACGATGCTGATCTGAAGGAATGCAGCCATGACCAACCATGCCGACTTGGATTCCAACCCTTTCAGATCATCACCGAAACTTGCAAGATGTGTATGCAGGACCCTCACAAAAGACTCAGCCACAATTTCCACGACCTCGAAGATGAATCACCTTTATTCCGTTACTGGTACTGTCGAAAGCTCAGTGGGGATGAAAATATCTGGGGGCCTTTCCGGGGAGTGAACATCCCGAGCATCACCGCCGAGATGGAAACAAGTGTCACGACCCTGGGCGCCAGCGTAGAGCCGCCAGCGCAGAACCTCACCAGTGTCACGTGCCCAAGCAGCATCACGTGCCCACGCGCGACCTCGTGTCTATATAAGGGCCCGCTCGGTCGTGTAGTCTAGTCTTCCTTTCTTGCTCCTTAGCTTTGAGTCTTTGTTCATAGTGCCAATACATCTTTATAGCCGTCAAGGCTCGTATGTGCCTGGCCGTAACACTACTCAAAGCTCAATAAGATCGCTTGCCAGCGATTAAGCAAATAGGCACCGAGCTTTCACGTCACACGCGCCTGACGTAAATCCAGCGCATCCGTTCTGACCGTTCCGACCAAGACTCCGACCACCGACCAAGTGATCCTCAAGGCTGAGATCACGTCCGTTCCGACCAAGACTACGCGTGTGTGTAGTCGTCCGACCAACCGTTCCGACCAAGGGATTCGTCCCGTCTGACCTCCGACCGTCCCTGCTCGTGCAGGCATCTGCAGTGTTGCTAATAATATGACAATAAAGTAGTATACTGCAGTATATACAATACAATACGCGATTTCTCATATTGTACCAATACAATATGCTCGCCGTCATATTGTGACGATACAATATGGCGCCTTCCATACTGGCAATATATGGCTTGTATTGTTTGTATTGGTTGGTGGTCATTCGCCTTTCCGTTCCCCAATTCGCGCCAATATGATGACGCGTCAAAATACACGCGTAAATATAAGCATGTTCTATGTATTGTTTTTCGTCTGGCGGACCTCCAGGACGTAAAATCTTCCTATTGGCGCACGGAAACGCGTAAATGTATGTATAAATCCAGACCTACAGGGTAGCGGCTCGCCGTCCAAACACTGTTTTCCTCCTCAACCCCGCTTTCCCACCCCAGGACTTACAAGCAATCTCGATGCCTCAACAACGCCTGCCTTTTGTTCAAACATCGCCGCGACGGGATTCGTCAATATCAGACGAATACTCGGAGATTTCCAGCCCACGGTTGCATGATCCAGATGAGACCCAAACCACTGAATGCCAATCGTCGCAACCTCGCACGGCCTCCATAAACCCTTCGGCCAAGCCAAGAACATCATGGGTCTTTTCTCATATGCCAGACGAGGACATAGAGACGAAATACTACAATCAGCGGACCGGAAAAGAAGAATGGCGCTGCAAACACTGTGACAAAACGTATTGCTGTTCCGGTGGAACTGCGGCCCAGCCAAGCACCTTACGGATCCTCCTCCTGACGGTCACGGCCTCCCAAAAGGCGCGCCACGAACAGCCAAAGTCACGAATATACGAACTATTCTCGAGATAGCTCGTGTTATGGCCAAAGAACATCCCCGAAAACGCCGTCGGCTCAACGATCAATCCGGAGACTCGATCGACCCAGACCAGCTCGAAGCTTTATACGTAAGGTTTATTACGTCCTGTTCTCTCCCATTTAGGCTTGTGGAATGCCCAGAATTCCGAGCATTCTTAGCCTACCTCAACGCCGATATCGATACTTGGCTTCCAGATACACACGAGACCATCAAGAAATGGATTATGCGGCAGTACGAAGGTCAGAAGGAGAAGGTCAAGCAGCGCATCCAGTCAGCAAAGTCAAAAATTCATATCAGCTGCGACCTATGGACTTCCCCCAACTCTTTGGCCATCTTAGGCGTAGTTGCTCATTACGTTGCAGAAGACAGTCAGTTGGAACACCATGTCTTGGCTTTGAAAGACATCGACAGTGAGCACGACGGATATCACCTGGCAAGGGCAATTTTGGAAGTGGTTGATGACTGGGGTTTGCTGCCAACCTTGGATATTTTGTGATGGACAATGCAGGCAATAACGATACAATGATGAGATCTCTTTCCCTTGGTAAGTACGGCGCACTGTTTTTCTGACTGGCCCTAACATCTACAGGCCTTCTACGTCGATATGACATTCGATACGATCCCAAATCTCACCGACTCCGCTGCCAAGGTCACATTATCAACCTTGCCGCCAAAGCTTTCCTCTTCGTTACCGATAATGAGAAGCTCAAAGACGACGAACGTGATGGGCATAATGTGACACTAAAAGAGATCGAGGCGTGGCGGAAAAGGGTCCCCTTGGCAAGCTCCACAACTTCGTGGTTTTCGTCCAAAGTAGTGTTCAGCGTCGCCAAAAGTTTCTGGCCATCAGCCATAATCGCAAGCTTGCGCGAGATAATGACACGAGGTGGAGTTCGTGGTACACCATGCTACGAGCGGCCTTGCATCTTAGAGGCGCAGTCGAGGGATATTCAACAAATGGGTGGAAGGAGATTGTGCCGGAGACGAGCTCTCTCCCGAGTGGGTCATCCTCGAGAAGATCAAGTCTTTCTTGGAGAAGCTTAAAATGACGACAAAGGCCCTTGAGTCATCGTTTGCAACTCTTGACAATGTTCTCTTGGCTATGGACTTCGTATTGGCGCAATTTGAAGCAGGAAAAGAGGCACATATCGACGATCCGATTATGGCACCAATGTATAACTCGGGCTGGGCGAAGATGGATAAGTACTATTGTCTTACTGACGAATCGCCTGCCTACGTCGCTGCGATTGTGCTTCACCCTTCGCATAAATGGCACTACATACACGAAAACTGGAAGAAGGAGTGGGCTGACTCGTCAAAGAAGCTGATGGAGACACTGTGGGATGATTATAAACCTGTGGAGCCGCCTTCTCTATCTGAGGTTCCGTTGACGACCACGAACGAGTTCTTGAATTGGAGAAACAAGCACCTACAACCAGCACTTATCACAGACGAGTACGAGCGATATTGTAAGTCTGAACGGGTTTATGGGTTCACAAGCGCCCTCGCATGGTGGCTGGAGGAAACACAGCAAAAGAACTACCCATACCTGAGCAAAATGGCGGTGGATATACTGTCAATTCCCGCAATGTCTGCTGAGCCCGAAAGACTCTTCTCTGGGGCAAAAATAACCATCACAGACCGTCGAAATCGACTTGGGAGTGATGTAATTCAGGCATTGGAGTGCTTGAAGTCATGGTTTGGGATACAGGATTTTCAGGGTGACGATATTTCAGCAACGACGGTTGAATAATGAGGGTCACGTGGGATATACGGGATATATTGTTTTACTGGCAATATATTGGGTCACTGGCAATACAATACAATATGGACCAATGCCATATTGCGCAATACAATACGCACCTCTTGACAGTACAATAATATTGCGAGGGGTCCATATTGCCAATATACGTATTGTTTATATTATTAGCAACACTGGGCATCTGACCGTGATTCCGCGTGGTATCATTTCCGACCCTAGACTCTGACCTCGAGACTATGATATCTGAGGAAGCCCTGCCATCGGATCAGCCTCGCCGTTCCACCCGGCTTGCTGGCCAAGCCACTGAATCCGAAATAGTAGCCATGGCTGCCCTGAACCCCCAAGACGCTCTCATCCGCGAGATGAGAGAACAGATTGCGGCCTTAACGGCCCGTCTAAATGAACGCTCTCCGTCTGTTGAATCAAATCGACAGCACCGGGAGCCCTCGACTGCTTTTGCCGGCCCAAATGGCCCGGCCTTCCGACCAACAGGCAAAGCTGCCTGGCCTATTTTTGCCCCTTCCCAGAGGGCAAGAACCCCGAGTACAGCGACGCCGCCAAATCGCGCATCAAGGTCTCCGCGACGTTCTCAGGAAGAAGGACGAGTTCCATTCCTTCATCCTGAGCATAAAGAACAAATTTGACGAAGACGTGCGAACCTTCCGGACTGAGAACAGCCGGATGGTCTGTCTGTATAACCTGCTCGAGGAAAAGCCCGCCGAGCACTTGAAACCCGCTTCTCCTCTGACACTCGACCCTTCTCTGGAGTGGCAGAGATGATCCAAGCCCTTGAGTCCGCCTATGGCAATCCGAATGAGCTTTCCGAGGCTCTTGACCGCCTGCAACGCCTCCAGTTTACCGTGAATGGGAAGACCGACATTGTGGACTTTCTTGCGGAATTTGACTACTTAACTGCGACCGGTCGTGTGCCCGAGGACCAGATGAAGCATACCCTGTGGCAGCACATCCCGGCCAACCTAGATAACAGCCTCTTGACCAAGACCCGCGACGAGTCCGTGACCTACGAGGTTTTCTGTGGGTTCATTAAAGACGCTGTCCACTGCCAGAAGAGGAGTATGAGGCAGACACAGGACTCCCGCTCTTCCGACCGATCTCGCCGCGCGCCGACTAAGACTGCTCCGACTACCGCCAAGACTCCGAACAAGACCGGCTCGACCCTATCACCTCGCGTGATGCTGGCAGAGCCTTGACCGACGATGAGAAAAGGGTCCATTGGGATAATGGCACCTGCTTTATTTGTGGAAAAACAGGGCACCTCTCTCGCGAGTGTCCCGACCGCACCCATGCTGTCTCCCGTGTCGCCTCCGTCCCTGTCCCTGCCAACGACTCTGATCAAGATTCGGAAACGAATAGGACCATCACAAGACTCCTTGATGGTCCCTAAGGTGTCACAGACAGCGAGTAGGTCTAGCAAGTCATTCACTCTGCCAAGTCAAGTCCAAGTGGATGGTGTGAGCCTACCTGCCCGCTCCCTCTGTGATACCGGAGCCGAAACCCGTTTGCTGGTTAGCCCAACCTTCGCCCAGTCCGCCGCCCAAAGACTCGGAGCCCAGATTAAGGAGCTCCCGAGTCGGATTCCCCTCCAAGACTTCCGTGGAAAGCCAGCCGGCTATATCCAGAAACAGCTGGTCGCCACTTTCGTCATCGATGGCCGTTCGTTCGCAAACGAGACATTTGATATAGCTGAGTGTGGCCATGATATCTTTATCGGTCTTTTCTGGATGCGGGAGAAGCGCCTCCTGCTTGACTGCGCCGCCCGACAGATCATCTGGCCAGATGATCTTCCTGCCCTCGCCAAGTTCTCCCGACGATCCAGCTCTCGTCAAGCCCCGCTCTCGGGTCGGATCGACCCTAAGATCCAGGCCGACGCTGAGAGGCGGAACCGCCTGCTCGAGAAAGAGGAGAAACGCTACCGGATCCTCCACAAGAACTGGGGCCGCTCTGATCAAACTCCTCCGGCCTCTGTCCCGACCCGTTACCGACTCCGTCTCCGTCGTTTCAGTCCAAGTCTCCGTCTGCCAAGAAGTCTGTCCGTTTTCAGCTCACGACCGCCCCTGCTACCGACTTCGTCTCCGTCGCCTCGATCCAAGCCTCCGAAGATCAAGCCCTGATTAACGCCCTGGTCTGCCAAGTAGAGTCTCACGAGAGATTCGAACAGTGGAACGAACTCGAACCGTTGATGCCCGGGGATCCAGTCCAGCTCGAGCCAAGCTCCGGCCTTGACCAGACCGTCCCTAGTGCTCGAACCGTTGCTAAAGTCTCCCGGATCAAAAGACCTACCAGGGACAAAGCATTCCGTTCCCTCAGGAGAAGACCCTGAGCATGTTGCTTGTGTCCGTAGTCGTCTACCGCCCCAGCTCACCCATCTAGAGGATTCTTCTCGAAGAAAGAGGCCCACACCCTACCTTCGAGCCGACCCGGTCACGATGTAGTCCTAGAGCTTGAGAAGCCTCTTTCGCCGACAGGACCCCATCGTACCGCACGCCCGTTAAGTATCTGCCTCTAGAGAAAGAGACTGTCGATCACCTCCGGAGATAGACTTCATCGAGCCCGATCCGAGTCCGCACGCCGCTTCTGTCCTCTTCGCTCCGAAACCGAACACGACCGCCCGCCGCTTCTGCATCGACTACCGTTGGATGAACGATCATCTTAAAAGTCGCATCACGCCCGCTCCGTCCCTCGAAGGTACTGCTTTGGTTGCCGTGAAGCTCAACGCTTCACGAAGATCGATGTGATCCAGGCCTTCCACCGTCTCCGCATGGACCCTGACTCGAGTATTTGACCGCCTTTCGCACCCGTTTCGGAACTTTCCGCTGGAAAGTCCTCCCGTTCGGTCTGAAGGTAGGTCCCGCCTGGTTCCAGCAGTTTATCAACGCGCAGCTTCACGATCTCCTCGACCGGTGCGCCAGCGCCTACGCAGATGACGTCCTGATCTACTCGGATAAAGAAGAAGACCACTGGAAAGACTGTCAAGAAGTGATCTGGCGACTCCATCAGGCAAACCTCCAGGAGACATCAAGAAGTCTAGATTTAACGTGACCAAGGTTGACTACCTCGGCGTTCTGCTTGAAGCCGGTGTGGGCCTTAGTGTCGACCCTCGGAAAGTTCGATCGATACAAGACTGGAAGTTTGAGGACCTCCGAGACCGCACCGCGATCCGATCATTCGTTGGCCTATGCAACTTCATCCGTGTTTTCTGCTACCACGCCTCTGGAGTGGCAGAACCCTTGAACCGGTTGCTTAAGAAGGATGTTGCCTTTGTGATGGGCCCGGAGCAACGCGAAGCATTTGATCAACTCAAGCGCCTGGCTATCGAAGCCCCGGTCCTCGCCTTCTTTAGACCAGAACTGCCGACCCGACTGGAGACCGATGCCTCCCGGAATGCCACAGCTGGTGTTCTATGGCAGGAACAGCCTGATCAGACCTGGAAGCCCGTTGGATTCTTCTCTAAGACCATGACCCCGGCCGAGCGAGCCTACCCAATCCAAGATCGAGAGCTCCTCGCCGTCGTACAGAGTCTAGAGCACTTCTACCCAGAGCTCTTAGGCCAGAAGTTCGATGTGATCACCGATCACGAAGCCTTAGTCCATTTCTCTACGAAGCGCCTGCTCTCGGTACGACAGATCAGATGGTCCGACTTTCTCGCCCAGTTCGACATCCGTTTCCTCTACCGCCCCGGTCGACTGAACGTAGTCGCCGATGCCCTCTCCAGGAAGACAGCGGAGCTCCCTACCGTAAAGGCCCGGGAAGCCGAGGAACGCACGGTGACCCTGATCCTCCGGAAAGGCTAGGCTTCGCGACCGACTCTCTAGACCCTACGGCCGCCGGCAACCTGCCCCTCAGAACTTTAGTCCCGAACCTAAGCCTACTAGACCATTAGTTCTGAGGGCCACGAGTGCCCTACAGACCCCAGAAGACCGAGGGATACAGCAGACGCCCGATCAAGACCGCCCAGAACTAGACCCGAACTCGGTCCCGAAGGGAGCCGAACTCGTTTCGTTGATCCGCCAAGAGAACCTCCTCCAAGACCTCGGTACCCATGGAACACACCTGGTCGTACCAGCCCAGACCTCAGACAAGCAGACGTTTCTTCAGACCGCGCTCATTCGCGAAGCCCACGAACCCCAGATCTTCGCTCACGCCGGACAGAACAAGGTGATCAAGCTGCTCCAACGAGACTTCTACTGGCCAAGGATGAAGGAGGATATCCGTCGTTATATTCGGAACTGCCACGACTGCCGCCGCAACAAAACCCCTCGAGACAAGACCCCTGGACTGCTCCATCCACTGCCCGTACCGACCTCTGTTTGGGAGCACGTCGAATGTGACGGGAAGGATATGCCGAAAGACCGTTACGGATATGACTATGTTTGGACCTTCGTCTGCAAGCTAAGCCGGATTATCGCCACGCTCCCAGGAAAGAAGGAACGAAGCATCGTCATGGAAGCTCCCTACACCCTCAGACCCAAGGGGTGTAGAAGTCACAAATCAATACCTAGATCAAAGCTACGATTCTACGTGACGAAGCATCAAGATAACTGGAGTTCCCTGCTGCCCGCCCTCGACTTCGCCCATAACTCGTCTTGGCACTCTTCCATCGACATGGCACCGTTAAAAGTAGCCCTAGGCCGAGATATCCGGAACCCCCTGTCACTGCCCCCGACTGACAAGACCGCTGCCACCGGACCCGCCGCCAGAGCTAGGGAACTTGTGCAGACCGCCCAGGAAACCCAGGAAGACGCCAGGAATGCTGCCACCGCCGCTCAAGAACGTCAGAAGGAACAGGCTAATAGGAAACGACGACCAACCGACTTTGCCATCGGTGACCGAGTTTTACATAGCTACGTACTGCAGCTGCCCGAGTCGTACAAAATGAAGAACCTATTCCACGCCGACCGTCTTCGAAAAGCAGCCGATAACCCTTGCCCCAGCAGATCCAGTCACCTCCGCCACCCGAGGAGATCAACGGAGAACCCGAGTGGGAGGTTGATCAAGTCCAGCAGTCTCGAGTAACCGGTAGGAGTCGACGACTGGAATACCAGGTCTTATGGAAGGGATGTGACCTGATGAGACCTGGTACCCGGCTAGGAATTTCCGTAACGCACCAATGGCATTGAAGATTTTCCACGATGAACATCCGGACGCAGCAGGCCCACCCGTCAACCTGCAATACTGGATCGAATGTGCTGCAGCGGAGGAGGGCTGCGAGGAACGAGACGATGACGACACAGCAGAAAGCCGTGAAACCAAGAACCCGCCGCCACGACTGACTACCTTGATACGCATATCAAGGCCTTAGACGGGGGGCAGTGTCACGACCCTGGGCGCCAGCGTAGAGCCGCCAGCGCAGAACCTCACCAGTGTCACGTGCCCAAGCAGCATCACGTGCCCACGCGCGACCTCGTGTCTATATAAGGGCCCGCTCGGTCGTGTAGTCTAGTCTTCCTTTCTTGCTCCTTAGCTTTGAGTCTTTGTTCATAGTGCCAATACATCTTTATAGCCGTCAAGGCTCGTATGTGCCTGGCCGTAACACTAAGCATGCGCGAAACATGGCAGGAAGAGACCAAAAGAATCGTCAAACTAGCGAGTTCCAGTGCGAGAGCGCTTTTTATGGAGGGTCAAGGATCGTGTTCTGTTGATAAGTTAGACAGTGATGAGGGTAGAGCACTTTTAGCAAGGGCGATGGAGATGATTCTTGAGGAGACGAACAAGCCGGAGGAGTCGCCAGGTACCTAATTCTCTTTTCCCATCTCAGAGACCTCTCTCCTGTTCCTTCACTTCCCGCCTGAAAATCCTGCCTTTTCTTGATGCTCACGACCGACGGCCCCGACGAGGTCGAGATCAGGGACGACCAGGGGAGAGCTGAGAGTCACGCTTCCTGCAGCCACGCTGTTGTCTCACAAACCCCAATGTGGAATGGAGCAACGACGCCTTTTGCTCGTGTCTTTGACCTTCTTTGTTTGGTTCATCTCCACCAGAGAGCTCCTGGTGTCGTCACGACCACGTTCATTTTGACAGCAGTTGCCCTCTGCACAGCCCCATGACGCTCCGATCTCCCCAGTCAAGGCGAGCTTAGACGTATGCAAGCCATAGTGCATGAACCAGGTTGTATGCGCTGCTGGTGATGCCAATCTACTGGATGGCCTCATAACCGGGGGCCAACCGCATTGACTTGTTGAAGACGTGCCGTTCCACCCACCTTGTTCTGGCCAGGCCGCTACGATGTGGAGGAAGCTCACCCGCCTCATATATGTAAATCATCATATCAAATATACCGGTAGCCCAGTCTCAAGGCAATGATGGTGTAACCTTGCTATGCACAAAGCACCCCATCACTACCTCACTCTAGGTATGTCTGCCCGTTTGCAAAGCGACTAGACAACGTCCTGTGGCTCTCTTCACTAAACGTTACTCTTCAAGTACCAACATTCGCTGTTATGACTTAACATTATATAAGGTACGCCTTGTTCCGGGCAAACCCAGTGCTCATATTCTCATTTTCTTTAATTCCGAAATCCGCTCTCTCCACCGTCCAAGGTTGCCACATGTCGACATGCAAGACGAGATTGCCATCAGGGAGGTCACCGAGGCCGGTGTAGTGTTTGCCGTGACCACGATCTTCCTGGCGCCGTACCTGTACTGGATGATCAGAGTCAAGCCACGAGAAGCTTCGCGTAGGCGAACTTGGGCGTTGATCTCCACGGCCTGTCTCTTGGGTATCGGACTGGTATTCGCCGCTTTGTTCGGCAGTGCGAGAAATGGACACCTACCAAACGTCCTTGCCTACCCTTCTTCACAGCCTGGAAAGGGTCACCATGTTATGCGTCGACATCATTGAGGTACTTCCCATTCAAGCCCATCTAACTACCTCACCGATATACTCATGGTTTACAGCTTATTCAAGTTGTCGATCCCTTGATTTACGCCTATTTTTGCAGCGCCGTTGAGCCTGACCTCCAAGGCGAGAATCATCATTTTGGACTAGCCTTAGTCTTTCACCTTCCCTTTATTGGGGCGACTGTCTGGCAGTCCAGGCTATCCGGCGTCGAATATTGGTGGGCTGCTCCAATGGTGTCTCACTTGGTTACCGTTATTATGGTTATGGCGATATGGAGGAAGACACAGTCTTTCCGTCGTTTTGACCGGCACTCTAACCAGCTTCAGCCAGAGCAGCCGACGTCAAACCAGGGGATGCCGTGGCTTGGAGCAGTGAGCGGATTAGTGTTCCTAGCATCATCTGTGCTCCTGATATGTTCTGTGACTGGTTGGGTGAGACACCAGTTTGGAGGTCAGTGTGGACTTTGTCTGGCGATTTTAGTTGTGCCAGCAGTACCTCTAGACAGTATGATGAGAGAGCACCAGAGGAAACGGGTAGACAGAGAGGTGCAGCTGTCTGTGGTGACAGCCCCCGGTGCTGAACGGTCGACGGAGCACCTTGTACTATCCTGAGGGCTGTTACGCGCTAGAAGAAATCACACCTCCGAGCAGGAAACGGGGAATGCTATCATATAAAGAAGAGAGTCTATTCCCGGGTATTTTATGAGTTCTTCAGAGATCAATCAATTGAACCACTGGCCCCCTCCTCACTCTCTGTTTCGTTGCGTGTGTGCACCTTACAAGGGCACTGAATCAGACAGACGATAATTACATCACTTTATGCCCTCCATCTACGGCCACTTCTTAGATTTAAGCGTCCCAAGTTTGGGCCACACGCACATACTGCATTCAGGTCGTGCAAAAGCTCCAAGTAATCCAAGTTGGAAGCGCGACGCAAGTGTGCCTTCCGAAGCATAAATGAAGCCCTGCTTTCCACGTCAATCATGATCTTTAGTTCGATCTTTACTTCAGTTACACTCTCCTCGAACGAAATACCCACGATAGTTCACGCAAACATCCACCAGTCGTTTGAAAGACATATCCTTAAAGACTTCATCGGACTCGCAGAAGGGCTCGCTAAGGATAACCGGCTCGTCTCGCCCTAATATGCACGCTGTAGACAGTGTCCAGACGTCCAGATATGCTTAGATTACCTCCGCAAGTGAAGTATCAATCAAATTCCAAATTCGGGGGGGGGCGACGAGCTCGCCGTGAGCGACTACAGTTCTGATGGCAGTGAAAGCGGCGAGCCGAGCATGAAGTGGCGGCTGTTCCACCGTACGACACCTAGGGAAAGGCAATGGCAATCACTCATCACGCTTATGGTGGAGGGTGCAAGAAAGCAACAGTCAACCTCAGACAGGGATCTAGCGAGGAGCCTCGATTCAATTTTCTGCATGCTCAAGTCACATGCGACCCCGGGAAAACCCGGGCAGTTCTATCGCCACGAACGACTCGCCGCAGTATGCTCATGACCGAGTTGACCGACTCACTTAGACTTGGACTCGTGTTGGAAAGGCAGCAGGGGGCACTCACACCCGACGCCGTTTTGGATCATCGATACGCCTCGCATGATTCGGTGACCCGAGGGCAATTCCCCGACAAGTCTCGCATGAAGGCGAGCGGTATGCAAATGCCAGCTTGTGGAACCAGCGTTTCTTAGAGGGGATATCTAAGGACTACTACCATCATAAGGGCTGGTGAAGATATAACAATTCAACACTCCTCCACGGCTGGTTGCTTGCTCCTCCGGATTTTGTGAATCCGCTGTCGCTTATGCCCTTGCCCATGGCTTTGCCATATTCTTTCAGGCGCTCGACATTCTGTACTCACACCCCCATATATCCCGCCATGGTCTCTCCGCTCGCATTTCCTGGTGTGTCGTGATGAGTCCGAAGGAGAAGACTGAGAAAGG